GCGGCCACTCTCCTCACTGAATCCTTGCTGGTCTTTAAGATAGAGGCTGTTATTACACCTGGGTTTTTCTCTCGAGCAACGTTCTTGAGAAAGAAGCTACCGATGTGGCAGGTACCGAGTGGCTCAGACACACCAATCGGAAGGACGCAACCTTTTTCCTACTTGACGGGTAAGCCCAGTTTGATAGACCATTGGTGTAGTAGATTTAGCGTGAGCTAGCGGCATCAAGGTCGAGTACCTCAGACCATATTTTAAAGTCATCTGCCTAGAGTAGACATTCATTTTGAAATCTTCTAGAAAGGTCATTAATGAGGAGCATGAAAAGCCGTGTTTACAAAGTCTCAGTGTGGGCCATCCTATTGTATGGGAGTGAGACTTGTCCCCTTCGATCTAGTTATCGGGCGCCTTCAAATCTTTGATGATCACTGTCTGCGATGCACTGCTGATGCTGGATGGCACCAGCGTGTCCGCAATGATGATGTGCGTAGGTGAGTGGTAGGGAGTGGTAATCATACTAGTTCCTTAGAACAACAGGTAACACTGAACAGGTTGCCTTACCTTAGGCACGTGCCATGTATACCTGGTCACCGTTTACCGAGAAGGGCCCTGTTTTGTCTACCAGATGTAGGGTGTCGCAAGGTTCAAAGTGCGCAAAACTTAACTTGGTAACAGGAAATGAAGTCACTGACGACCTGACCGGGTGCCGTCGGTCCGTCTCGCCTTACAGACTGGAGTCCACGTAACCTGCCTTGTGTTTGGCTGGAGGCGTCGAATCTCGAGGTAGACTTCCGCTCCACTGGGTGCAAACAAGGTGTACTGCGCGCACGGGTATGCGGTGGTGGTCACTTGAATAGGGAATCAAAATGCTTGGCCCAGCGTTCCATACACATGTGCTGGTTGGTGATCGGAGACCCATCCGCGTCCCAGATGACTTCACTTACACCAGGCTTCCTGAGGCCAGGGGACCGAGTGAGTTGGAAGAGCTTGCAAGTGTTGCCATAGTGGGCAGTAATCTCCATCTCCAAATCACGCTCATACCACCAAGCTTCGCGATCCATAGGCATGTTTCGCTTAATCAGCCGACCAGCAGAGCGACGTCGCTCATTGTAAGCTTATGCTGCCAGGGTATCTCTGCGGCGGTAGAACAGCTCCAGAGAGCGAGCAGAGATTCAAGCCTTTAAGAGGTATCGGGCTAGGCCGCAGCTTGATTGTGCGAAAATGATCATCGCCTTCCAAGTGGCATTTGGTGTGCCCGCTGTGTGCTTGGATTGTGACTCACAATCTCTATTCAGATCTCGGTCATTACGATCGCAAAGACCGTATCCGAATTGATGGTTCGGTGTTGCTCCTCCCTCTCCTAATCGGATGGTCTGTTTAAACTGTGTTTGGTGCTGAGTTATCTGCGGGGTAATGGCTGATTATGACGCGTGGCAGTGAAAGCCGCAAGGAAGCTGTCTCGCCGATGCCGCCTTATCTTTGCACGATAGCCAGCTGTTTGTGACGGTATGTTGTTAACACAAGGTGTAGGCGCCTTGACCCTGAATGTTTGCTTAGGGCATTAAGGTTTTCAGGTAAGTCCCCCTTCTCTCCCTCCTATTCTTTATTTCATAGGTCCTCATGGTTGTATGGCAGCGAAGCATCAGTTCATATGGCTGATGTACTGCTGTTGATGATGATGATGATGTTGCTCCTCCCAACCCTGACACCCCATAATCGGTTTCCTTCTCCTTTGGGCTCATCAGAAGAAGATAACCTGAGCTGGGGTGGAACTCGAGGCCTAGTGTTCAAAGATTGACGCCTTGACTCTAAGATCCGCGATCAACGCTTGGCACAGTAGTAAAGAATTGCAAGTGGCATTTGGTGTACCCGCTGTGTGGTTGGATTGCGACTCGCAGCATCTATTCAGACCTCTGTCATCTTTAAAGTAGACCTCGACCATTACGATCACAATGACCGTATCCGAATTGGGGGTTCGGTGTTGCTCCTCCCAACCCTGACACCCCATAACCAGTTTCGTCCTCCTTTGGACTCATCACGTGGAGATAGCCTGAGCTGGGGTGGACCTCGAGGTTCAAAGGTTGACGCCTTTGTACACTTAGTGGAGGACCTCAGTGTAAGCATTGTGTTGGAGTCCTGCAGTCGGGTTTCTGATCATGGAAGGACTCCAGGATGTGCGCTATGCTGGCTTGCTGTCCGTTCTGCATGGCTGTCCATACATTTAAGCACACCCGACAGAACTAGGATCAGGACAGAAGAAGAGCCACATGTTGAACTCCATGGTTCGCGGTGCAACCGGAAACGCAGACAGGTCTATGAACACAAGAATCAGTTAACGGATAACAAGGATTGTTAACTACTAAACTTCGGCGTGTGATGAAGTCGTGTGTGTAAGAAACCGAAACAGCAGCAAATGAGCACGGTCTATAATAGTCAGAGGGCGAGGTACTACCCGGTTGCCCAAACCGAAGTAAGGAGCTGACCTAGAGGACATAATCCCGAGCTTTGACCACTTTCCCACGGAATTGGGCCATTTGGGAGCCGTTGGCTGATTGTTCAGTGCATACGCCTTTCGTTTGGTCGGTTACCAAACAAAGGTCCAATCCTCCTCACGATTTCAGCAAGAGGGTGTTAGAATATCATGCCTCGCCGCAGTGAGGCGAACGACAGTCACTTTATTTAATGGCCAGTCGCATCTGCCATGTCGCAGTGTTGTTGGACGGACACGTGGCATTTTATAGGGAGGACGCATCCTAAGCGAAAACCCACTACGTTCTGAAACACTGCCGCCCAACCTTTGCTAGAATTAGAAAACCCAAACCACCCAGCTAGCACCACGAGGTTGTCCGGCAAGCCAGCAGTATTGCGCACTCTGGGGTATTCACCCATTTCCCCGTCATCATCATCGATACATGTTAGCCAAGGGCAAGAAACACTTCAGCTAATGTGCCGCAATGTAAAAAGATAAGATATCACAATTGCAAACAAGTTCACAAAGCAAGTAATATAATGTTAAATATCATATTATGCATTTGGTACGGAATCGTTATTGGACTGAAAAGCTAAAGAGGATGGGAGGGACAAAGAGACTCAAAAATAATGCCGTTGAGTTCGGCTCCTATCCATGTCAACTAGTGTATCCAACCAAACGTGTTCTTCGTCCTTCGGACCGCAGCCCGACGCCAACTTCGAAATGAATGTTTTATCTTTATTAACCAGTTCATCACTTGGCCTCCCCTACTCTTTTTCCACCCAGCCGGTTGCGCAAACAATCCATGACGCGAAGTCAGTGTGCTGACATTCGCAACTCGTTGCCTGATCATCGGCACATGGTGCGTGATGTAACGGTGCTGAGCGGTTCACTCGCTCTTCCTGTGCCAAATGCACGACGCCAAACACATTTATTGCTCACGTGGTGCTCCCATTAGACATTAGCTATGCTGCGAAGACAACGATGGTCGAACGTAGCTTTATGTCTGTCGATTTGATGAACTAGGTTTTACAACCGCACGGGCGGGTTGGACAGACAGCTGCATTGTAAACTTTGCAGGAACAGGTAAACCCGAACCACCCAGCTGGCAACACTTGAAGGTAGTTCGGCAAGCCAACCAGACCGCCGTGGTTGTACGGCGGCACAGCATCAATTCAACTGGCTGACGTAATGCTGTGGATGATGGTGGTGGTGATGATGATGATGGTGGTGATGATGATGATGATGGTGGTGGTGATGATGATGATGGTGGTGGTGGTGGTGGTGGTGGTGGTGGTGATGATGATGATGATGATGATGATGATGATGATGATGATGATGATGATGATGATGATGATGATGATGATGATGATGATGATGATGATGATGATGATGGTGATGATGATGATGATGATGATGATGATGATGATGATGATGATGAGCAACATCAACGGATCGCGATGCGATCGATTTGCGTCCATGACTGGTACAAAGCTTTTGAGCACTATATCAGTGTTCTGGGGGTGCTGTGTCGTAAGTTATTGCTCTCGATAAATAGACGAACATCAACAACAACCGCTCACCATTATCATTATCGGAACCTACACCATGTTTGTCGTCCAGATGTGGCTCATCCGTGGACACTTTCACAACCTTATCATCTAGATCAGCAGCCAATATCACAGTATCCGTACTTTTCTGTAACAAAGGAGCTCGTTCAGTCGATGATAGAAGTTGTTTTCCACTGAGTCAGAACTAAAGTGTGTTGGGGCGTAGGCAGTGATGACTAACAGGCACCGTTTGTCCACGCTACACTTCGAAGCTTTGAACGAGTCAGACAGTTTGATGATGCATGAGGGGCTGTTGATTGGGATTCATTCGAACGGACTCAGAGCAATGCCCACACCGGATTGGTCGGTATTTGAAGCTGCCTCATCATCAGACAAACGCAGTGAAAAAGTGACGTCGCTGTCACATCCGGTGGATTGCAGGGTGGGCACGGAGCTCCAATCTTACAAGCCGATTTCCGACAAACAGTAGATATCAACCGATAGGATCAACTGTTTTCGAGCATGTGCTGCCTCTTGGTCTATACTTAACAAAGTGCACACGTTGAGACATACCTGTCTTAGCAAGAATCGAGCGTTCCAAGTAGAAATTAATGAACTGACGTCAGCTTGGTTAAACATGAACTCATCGACCGGATTGGAGGGACGCCCTGCAATTGCCCCTGAGTCGGAACTAGAAGACAAACGCCTATCAAATTAATATGGGGTAAGAGACGTTGGTTGAAAACAAGGGGATAAAAGTGAAGCTGTACTGGTTGGTTAAAATAAAAGGCACAAGTGGGGGTAAAAGGATGGGATGGTCTGAGCAATAGCATCCTTCTCCTACCCATCCTGCTTGATGCAGCAGGTAGAGCACCATTGGTTATCCTCTGTGACGGCCAGAGCATCGAGATACTGTTTGGATAGATCATTGAGTTGCGTGTTTTTCTCAACCAAAACCTTTGTTTCAAAAACCTGACCGCAATGCAGCGGGGTTTTTGACCTGGGGTACAGAGTTCGTATTATAGAGTAAGGAGCCGCTTTTGCTCCGATCCCCAATCTGTAGGACTAGGATAATGAGTTTGTCAGGTTTCTAACCATTGACCAATCAGGCATGAGTGACTTTGAAGATTCAAGAAACACCACCAAACCTAGTCACATTGCTCAGTGGGGCACACAAACCATCGCACCACGTTGATTTCGTATCGTTGCAATAGAAGTAGCAGTCTGATATCCATCGTGTGCGAGTTTCTCGCGTCTACCGTTCTTCACATATTGATTGACATTCGTGAAAGACATTCAGGAAGGACAAGCCGAGTTTATACGAAACCGTAGCTGCACTGACCACTCTTCGCTTCGCGTCAATTGTCGTAATGCTGCCACTTACATTGGTTACCCAATCCAGAAGTCGATTAGAAATGTAACTTTCTGGGCAGCTGTATGGGTGCCTCTGGAATAGAAGATGAAGTCAGGAACAGTGGGGCTTTCGCTTATTTTCACCAACTTTAACACCGGCGCGACATCACTCACTCTCTCTCTCTCTCTCTCTCTCTCTCTCTCTCTCTCTCTCTCTCTGACGGGTATAGTGGTCTGTTCAATCCATCCGTACAGTTATGAACGCTGACCCATAAAATCGACGGACTTAAAAGGCTTGTCACATTCGTCCACCGGTGCATACGTAGCTTAGCTCACATCTGGAATACCCCATTGACAGTGAATGAGTTGGGCAAATTTTTTATGGCGCAGAAAAAGCAGTTAAATTACTCAGCCCCATTATTTCGCGCACCGGACTCCGATGGCTGGGCTGAGTTTTGCGCATAACAACACTCCGATTCCTACGACGTGCGTTGGCATAACCGAAGCCTAGATGGAAGGAAAGGAGGGGAGGCCAACTGCTGACTTGGTAAAGAGGAATAAATGCTCTTATTCCGAAGTTGGCGTTGGTTTGAGCCTCTCCAATCCTTGGTTGGGGCACATTTGGCTAGATACACTTGTTGACATGGTGGGGATCCGATCTCAGTGGCGTTTGTGTTGTGAGTTTCTTTGTCCTTCCTCTTCATCCGCTATCTCGGTGTCGGCACTACATAATTTCTATTTTGCGTTTGTTGTTATTGTTGTTTTCTCTTCTTGTTTTCTCCTGCCGTCTAGTTTGTATTGCTGTAAAATATCCAGGGTTTTTCCTATCTCTAGCTAAGGTAGGCTGTTTATGATCTCAAAATAATCGAAAGTCAACGTTCTCATTGAAACGTCGTAAATTGAGGAGCGCTCTGTTTAAAACGTTCAACATGCCGTAAAGTCTTAACACACCATCAACAAGGATGTCCTAGTTCGCGTTGGTAACAAAAGCAAGTGGGATTCCGGGAGCTTCAAAATTGCGGACAAGAATGTGCCTGAATCACTAGTTCAGTTCGACCGGAACAACCACAGACAGAGGTAGCTCATAACAAATGGCGCAATGAATTTCTCTGCAAAACAGTTTCCAATGCTGCTACGGCAACAGCAGACACAAATGGAGGCGCAAATGAAGCTGCTCGAAACTTTGACGCAGTGACTCAGTCTGCAGTCTTCGGAAACTGTTTCGCGAGACACTCAGACATGTTCCGTTGATCTCCTCTCCAATTCTATTACTGACTTCCATTATGCTCCTGACTTCGGAAGCACTCGCTGGGAGAATATGTTCAAAACGGATTTCAGCCGTCAGGACGACTCCTGGAAAGTGCGACTGCTGCTCCGTAAACTTGGTATAAATGAACATTAAGTTTCGTTGATCACATACTGCCAAAAACAGCCGAAAGATCTCAGCTTTGCCGAAGCGGTCCTACAACCCCGAGAAATTTTCTTTTAGTCGTCATCATTATTCAGCATTTTATAGCAGTGTGAAAATCGCCAAGTGAGACACAGACGACTATTGGGTGCTGGCAGACATGGCCGACCGTGAGTGCGAACGCTTCAAATTACGCTCTTTGGCAGATGGTCAATTCAATTGTCTCATTTTTATCGTTGCCTTACAGTCCCCGCACAAGTCTACTCGCAAAGCTGGATCACAACCAAGATCGGACGCTGAAATCCCTCACGGCCGAGTTCAAACGATTGATTACTCTGAAACATGACCGCCATGGTCGAGAATTCTTCCGCACAAGTGCGAAATGTCTTTACTGTGACAGGCTCCAAGCAAAGCAGGACTGACAGTTATTTACTTTACTGCGGCTAGCTCTTGCGACAGGATGAGCCGGCTTTATGAATGTCGCGAATTTCAGCTGCCTAAGCGCGGCGGTCGGCAGCAAGCTCCACGCAGATACTGATCCAGTGATTCCTCCAGCGATGCACAACATGGAGTCCCAGAAGATCGACATCCGATTTCACTGCAGTGAGCCACCTTTTCAATTGTCCACCATGGCGACGACACCAACCCTAGCAATGCGATGGTAAAACGACGGACCTAGTGAAATCAGTGTCTGGTTTGCGGAGGACGTGACCGAACCACTGAAGTCTGCGGCGTTGGATGAGCTTTGTGACAGACTGACAGTTCCGCTCCGAAGTCACAGAACAGACCGCCTACTGCCTGCTTGTCATGCGGTGAGTGGCATTTCGCCCAATTCTGTCCATTCAAGAAGCATATTTGCCAGAACTGCCATACACGAGGCCACAAGAAAGTACTGTACTAGCAGTCTCAACCAGTGAGCACAAAACCGTTCCGCCCCAAGAAGAAGGTCAAAATACCGTTGCAGACTCCTTATCAGTCGTTTCCACTTTACAGAGGGAGTTCAAACACCGAAAACGCTTCATTACCGTATTTATCAATATGATTCCCTCAAAGCTGCAGTTTGACACGACTTTCGATATAACTACCGTTTCCAGGAGCACATGGAACCATGTCAATAGGCCGGAGTTTACTGCCTCTGACAAAGTGGATCACAACGCATCTGGCGGTGTGTTGAATCTGGTTGGAGAAATTGCCTGTAGAATCGTATTTAACGGGGTGTAATAGACTGGAACATGGTATCTGACGGACCAACCGAATCTAAACCTCCTCGGAATCGACTGGATCGAGAGGCTAGGACTCTTGGATGTCCCCCTGAACCGGATTTATAACCGTTATACGGCGAAGCCTTAAGCGCCGAACAGAGCAAGAAGCTCCGGAAGCCAGTCCATACACTTCGATCAGTTTCTGAGTTTTCATATTGGGAGGAACAGAAAAATGGAGCAAGTATTCGATCGATGGAGGGGACAAAACGACGCCTATTCAAATCCAGAGATTTGGTGTTTGCACGCGGCTACCGGAAACGTCATGCAGTATGGACTCCAGGTGAGATTACATGTAAACGTGGTGACCTCATTTATGATGGGCTCATTGCATTGGGTCCGCCATCCTAAACAGTTACGCCCAACGCTGAACCGGCGAGGATCGAGGAAACCAGATAAGCTGCCTTTCCACCTCCTTGCGGATCACTTCCACTTACCGAAACCAGATAAGGAGGCACATAGTCAATCGAACGATGCATCCGATAGTCTTGCGCCAAATCCAAAGGCACTTCAACCTAGACGGAGAATACCGTCATCAAGATTTCAAGTCAATCCAAGGTTATCATCCTACACCGCAGCCGCGATCTCAATAGGGGAGATGCCAGGGCGAGGAATATCTCCCTAGAAAACTCACTAATCCAATGGGAAGGCAAGCTGAGCCAATGGTGTACAAGCGAAACACCACGTGGTTTCAGGAACGTTCGTGTACATACGACGTGCGCATTCCGCTTTCCAATGACTAGCGCAACTGACCTACCAATCAGGACACCTCACCTAACTGTTCGGATACGTGCATCTTCCTTAGTTGACTTCTTAAAATGTCCGTTGTTTTCACACCGCTTGTACCCGTTTCGGTAGCTGGTTCCGCAACACGCTTCTACCTCTAAGCGTTGACTTATGATTTTCCGGCTGGGATTCGAAGCTAGCAGTGAACGAATTCAGTTCGACCGGAATCGCCACAGACAGAGGTAGATCATAGCAGGAAGCCAACGTGAAAAACCATATAGTGATTGACTGACTGGTTTCAGATCGTTCTCATTGAAATGACGCAAATTGAGGAGAGATCTGCTTAAAACGTGAGGTCTTAGCAGTATTTAACTGCTGATCCATCTGAATTGTCCACCTCGGACGACCTACGAGACACCGTATTAAGCTCAGGCAGAAACGGTCCAGACCAGGCGTTCGAATGGATGTTTTACAAACCATGTAATACGTATTTTGAATAAACTCCCTACCTTTTGAGCGTATGTATTATTGGAAAATCCTTCAAAATGGGCTTTTGATTTTTATTTTACCGTGAGCATTGCAATTTGTGGTATTTGTTCGGTAGCGGATACCTCGATTACTTGCTTGGAGTTTAAGAGAGTTCGCTTCCACTCTTGCTTATGCAAGTTTGCTGGAGTAAGAGCAATCATTCAGACATCGAAGCTCCTGGGGCTTGACTTCCTTACTGGCCTACAAAATGGGACGCTAGTCAGGCGGCGACCTGCATCGTCCCGGTAAAGGTAATCTGATCTAGCCTCTATTTTCCAGTTACACCGACCGATCAATGTGATGCTACCAACGACCACTTAATGTCTCGTTTACCCTAATCTGCACTCGATTTCGCCCCATTGAGATCGGATGTCTAGCGCATCTCACTTCCTTTCCTCGGGTTAATACTAGAACCTGACCGAAATACTAGGTACACTTTTCGGTGTAACTTCGAATTTGAGCACTCCGAAGTCATTTCCTTGAATACGTGCACTGCGAATATGCCAACGTCTCTTAAGAAAAATATTTGTTACTTGTAACCACCATATAAACACCTGTGTACCTTTGCCTTTTTCGTGATTTGCATAAGCTGCGTGCGACTGTGGTCGCTTGGGCAAAACCTGATGTAAATATCCTTTCGTATTTATGGTTTAGTCGGTATTTTGTGTTGTTTGCACTTGCGTTGGTAAGGGCATTATTGTTTGCGCAACCCTAACAGAATTTGCTATTTGTAGATACACACCAACTCCTAAACGTTTCCTTGCGAACTGATTACCCGGTGCCATCATTGATGGACGCCGAACACCCCGATGGACTAGCGTGCAAACGTTCGATGCATAGAAAAAGCTGTGATGTGCCCAGGAAGAAGGCCAAATTGCTTTCTGACGCATGTCGATCGGACCATTCATCTGTCGCGGAAATGAGCGGTTGGCAGGTAAACAATTACTGTTACTACTTTCAATCATTTTTTGAAACAAAGCAACTCATTTTCCACTGTTTTTGATGGCTTCGAAAGTGCCAACTTAGTTTTTGTCAACTGTCTTTACAAGCACTGGTGAATACCGCGTTATAATGAACATATCTGGGCCTCAAGGGACTTTTACGACTGCTTCGGCTGTGCAAGTTTCTAAGTCCCTTCCTGGGATTATTGGGTTATCGCGATTGCGCGGACATCGTTTTTCTCTTTGACAATCATGTGGTGACGCGTCTAGTCCTTGTCGAACTCTCGGTAGTGATCCCATTATGTGTCACGCTGAATTCAAACAGTTCGGGATAGTGCGTACACCACCGTCAAGGTGATCCAAATAACTAACTTTCTTTATTCCACCGGCAAATACTACGGATCTCGTCGTCGTTGCAGGTCGCGTAGACGCTCAAGTCGATCTTCTAAGCATGACATCGTTTAGGAGACCGTTTAGCAATTGATACTTTTCATACAAACAACGGCGACCGCATTCTTTCGTGTGTGCCCCAACCACGATCCCCATAGCTACCATATATTTCCAGCACATTCGTTCTAATTGTGTTACACAGCCGTCGCCGAATGTTAGTATTCCTCGAATCTCAACTGACCACATCCTCATCAACCACGAATAGCATTCGCTATTGCAAAGTGGTCGGCAGAAATGAATTACTGATTATGTACTCATGAATTAATTACACCAGTTTCACAGTTCATGTGTGGTTGGCTTGCAATCTCTACCTCCCGGATTTTACTCGTTGCTCTGTGGGCTTGAACGCCTCTGCAGTTTCTGAGTCTGCGTGCAGCCGCTTACGGCTGCATGTCAGCATCAAATTTTTGTATATATGTACGACTAATCCTGCTTACCTATCATATCGATTTTAACCGTCCTATTTTGCGCGCTCATAAATCGACCACTGTCACTGATTCGGTGGAGACGCTGATTTGCCTCCCTCAGTCAACATCAGCAAAACCACACTATCTATGATTCTATTCGCTGCGAACCACGTCATCGAAACACATGTTTGGCAAACAACGCATAAGGAAAATGAAGGGGAAACAAAAGCGCAACCTACCACTGATGGATCTCCATATGAAAAAAAACTGAAGCACACAATTTCAAAAGGGTTAGAAAACAATCGATTGGTATATTTGACAGGTAGATTTTCGTTTTTGACTCAAATTCTTCGTCAGGTCAAGCGAACTAGTACATAGTTATCGTGGCGTTTATAGCAAACTTATGGGATAATCGCAACATCCAAAGGATGTGTTAGGGGTTACTACTTGCTAGAAGTCAGAATGTAATACGAAGCGGGCATTAAAAATCGAAAATTCTCAAGTGGTTTATCTTACGAACGTTAAGTCGACACGGGTAGGTTTAAATGAAAGACAAATCTGTAAGTCCCATCACTTGATATCTGCGTACACATCGAGATTATCGGTGCTACAGGTAGGTCTGAATCTGGCAGCGGCTACTTTACTATGGTTATTATGTCTAATAAGGCATTGAATGACATAGCATAGATTACCAAGAAATGATTTAACCTTTATTGTGTATGAATATAAGCTAAGGTCTTAAGATCACGATAACCAGATTCCCCGTTTTGGGAGCTGCGAATATTCGAGCACGTCTTGTGAACACTTTCAAATTTCAGCTATTGGGAAAGCATTATCTCGCACTAGCTTGACGAGCTACATTACGGGCAGTAAAGGAAGATTTCTGTCCCATCACGCAAGCGGTAAGGATAAGATCGTTCTGCAAGTGACCGTGTTAGATTGCTGCGCACCTAGTAAAAAGAACATCAGCAGCACGCCGGAACGCGGTACCGACGCTTCGCTGCCGCGCACTCACTACCGGGCGCACGTGGGCTAAGGGTATTGCTATAGTCTCCCGGTCCTTACGCAGGCTCCAACCCGCACCCTCGGATCACAAGACAGACTTGTGATCTTTAGGCCTGCGAGCCAGCTCTCTCGATAATGAGGCTTGAAGTTGTGTTACGCAGACACTATTTGTCAAACATGTCCACTCTTATACTATTCTTAGTATCCCGTGAGCGTGTTCCTGAACCATTAACTAATGCTGATCGTGCTCGGCGTTGCACACTGGTGTTAAACCACGAACTGATATCACAGTCTCTTCATTTTGCACGCGCTTTGAGGATCTACAGGATATCTGTCGATGAGCTTTGTAACCAGTTAGCACATAGGAACTTAGGTAAGTGATTTCATTTTCCACCTTTACTGCTTACTCGCCACTGGTGGGAACAGGCAAGGTGTCAACACAGTCCTGTAGTAGTGCTTTGTAATACCAGTTATCACGCGGCACCAGGTGTGTTTATGCGACCTGAGGTAATTCGCAAGTGACCGAGTGGGTACGGCATCTATTTTGTAAACTATATGTCGCTGCTTCGACCATGCGTATGTGCCGGAGACTTCGCAATTTGCCTAGCCCACACACGACTGGTGATGGTCACGTGCCAACAAAAAGTCGATACGACCTATCGTCTTACTGCTGATGCCACACGTTTTTGAGGCCTGTGATTCTGCGAGGGTGTCCAAACCCACGTGGGAGTGAAGACTCGAAACCGAAACATGGAGATTGCATGCCGCACGCCCGAGTCACAACACCTCGGATTCACCTAACAATACGAAGAACATGCCTTAGCAAAAGGAGTTCCGTATCATCCTACTCAGATGCAGCTGAACTCCGGCAGTGTGCGATCAAAAGAACTGCCGCTCGCGACCTAAATGTTTGCCGGTCGATTATTTGGCTAGAGCTTCCACTCTCGAAGGAATCACATACAACGGAGTTACTTATTGCCGTTTTGATCACAGCATAGAGCAGGTGAGAGATGTTATGGCCCAGACTCGCACGCCGCCGGCCGGTAGCCTAAAGGTAACAACCTTGTCTCCTACTCTGACGATGCGAGTTCGAACCTGCGTAGGGGCAGGGTGACCATCGCAGTATCCTTGGCCCATGTGCGACCGGTGGTGGTTGCGCGGCGGCGAAGCGTCGCTACTGCGTACCGGCGTACTGCTGATGCCCTAAACGCGCACTCCACTTATCGCGGTGAATTCAGATTGCTTCACACATTTCTTCACACATTCTCTTTAAACGCACTAGATATTTCACAGAGAAGGAGGGGATTTCTTTGATGCACACAGAGCTAAAAAGGGCCACAAGCAACTTAATCAAATGCGGTCTCTATTCCCGGGATGATGATACCGGTAGATTGCTTAAATGTAAAGGACTGTTCCTTCAGTACACAAACGTTACTGTCATCAAAGCACTCACTGTCAGAGAGGATTTCGGAAGTTTCCCCTACTGTTTTCCTGAGTGTGAGTCATCGTAGGATAATGCGTGCAACGTGCCCGGAGGCATTTGTATTATGCCTAATATTTGGATGCCTTTCGCACATCATCCTTGTGCTTTTTTAATGTACGGGAAAAGGTCGACCTTTTCTTACCTGGAGGCACCATATCAGTGTGGAATAAGGTAGTTGGGTTAGCACTTGCGTCTCCATAGCTTCTCATCCACGATCGGGAGATCTCACGCGCTTTGTGCATCCAGATTTTTCACCCCATCGCCGCTTCATGTCGGGTCTCTCCATGGATAGTAGACGGTACGCCAGAATTTCAGGTATTTTCAGGTGGCACTGGAAATGTTGGCTATCAAAGTCACCTAGAGGCTACTCATCAAGGTGTTCCACTTAGCACGCAAACCGGTGTATTCACTCTTATCAGTACTATTTCACTTAATGTGGTCTCGGCCTATACTTCGTATGAGTTGGGCAGAATTCGGCCGTTTCCAGCTGCTTTTGTCTTTTCCCTGTAACCAACTTCTATGACGCACCAGCACTCCCGATTGTCTCTTATGTTCCTGATATAACCTGGCTTCAAATTGTTATCGATATACTGCAACTGATTGCTCCTCGAAGTTAGCTTATCTACTTTTCGCTTGAGCTAAACCACCTTGGTCCTAGCGCCGAACTATGGAGAAGCCAGTCGCCATAACCTACATCTCAAGCTTAATGCCTCAGAAGCTCTTTTCAAAATTTACGCTCTTTGGGTTAATCGGACCCTCCTTGTAGTCCCTTCTCCGTGGTGTCTGAGAGCCAACGCCGATCGGCATTCGACTCGTTCACTTCCTCACTGATTACTTATACCCCAATTAGCAAACTTGATTGACAAAATGTTTCAACTGAAGAGTAACTAACAGTGAAGCTTGCGACTTCTCTTAGTTGGAAAGTAAAACCTGATCATAATTCATGCAGGTGCTCCCACTGCACCGAAAATTTTGCACTAGCGTGTGTCTGTCGCATATACTCGACTTGAGCCGAAGGTGTCATTTCGTTCGGCATACCCCAGGTGACGCGATGCGAATGGCTACACTTCAAAATCGCTGGTTATGTAAAACGATTATCCGTACACGATTGAAAAACCCATTTTCTTTGTCAATCTGATGCTCATCGATTCCACCTCGGTCTCTCCTACATATCATTCGATTTTCCGGTAAGCGCTGGCTTGGGTACTCATGTTGCCTGCTCCGATAACTCCTTGGTAATACAGATGAAGGATCGGAGTATACACAAACGTTTCTCTTTGATGACATTTAAGCTGAAGTCGTTGTTGGTCTACACAAAAAGGTGGGTGCTACATTTTCTGATGTTGTCAATTGTCCTTACTGTAGGCGTGAAATCGAAGCTTGGATATTAGGTTATTCGTGGAATTCGTTCAAGTCATCATTCATCATTATACACATCAGCTAGAGGTGGGAAAGCACCTCCGCTATTGTGCCGCAATACATGAAGGAAATACATACAAATAATACAATACACAAAGGAAAAATAGATACAACAGTTGCATGCCAGCTGAGCTACCAGCAACGGATAGGCATCGTTCCGGTAAGCTTCCAGCCAGCTACTAGGCAAAAAGAAAAAAGAAGTTGTTTTACCCTAGGAAATGAGATCGTA